TATTTGTATATACAATTTTCTCTCGCTTTATACAAACACAAACGCATTTTATACATTTGTATATCGAATGGGTAATTGTATACCGAAAATGACTAATTGTATACCGAACCAGATGACAAAAAAATGGGATGTTTGCTGCAAATTACAAATAAAAAACTATGGCTATAACATTTAATTTGAATTAATAATTTGTCATTTCATACAATTTTCCCTATTAAATTTTCGCACGAGGCACGAATAATTTTACTAGTACAATAATAAAAATAATTACTAGGCAAAAAAAAGTATCATATATTTATATAAAAGAGAACCCTAGGCCCGCCTATGTGACGCCACCATAAACCAAAATTCCCTTTCAATTTATTTATTTCCAAAACTAGTCTTCCTCTTTCATGAAAAGTTGTGACTTCTATGAAAAATTGGGACTTTTATGAAGAGTTGCAACTTTTATGAAAAAATATAACTTTTATGAAAGATTGTGACCTTTTCAAAAAATTGTAACTTTTTCAAAGAGTTGTGACATTTCCGATGAGGCACAATAAGGATTTGTTCACACTACTCTTTGTTGTCTATAAATAGAGAAATTTTCTGCCACTATTATTTGTAGGTTTTTTTCCACTCTAGGGTAGTCGAATTCAAATACATTAATTAAGATTTTTATGAAGTTTGTTTCATTCCTCAAAGTTTTCTCCCTCCTCTTTCATGGAGCTTAATCTTTACTATAAGTCATAGTGATTCATGTAACTATGACAATTTCATTTTGCTATTTTGGTGACTTTTATTTAAGGGCCCGTTTGGCCATGTGATATGGTATCATGATATGGAATCATGAGATAAAATTGAAGGTTTGTTTGGACATGCGATATGAAATTTTTGTGTTGTATATTTTCTCATAAACATAAAAATCCCATAAGTTGTAAAACTATTAAAATAGCCTCAATTGTTTATTCAATCTTATCAAATAAACAAAAATTATAAAATCGCATAATAAATTATTACAAAGTTATTTGTTCTTCAGTTAAATAATTGTTTCATCTAACTTTAATTTAATTTTAAAAAATTGAACATAAATTGTACTTGATATGTTCATATCTCTCAACTACTATTACAAATAACCTATAAAGTAGAAAAAAAACATAGATTAGTGAGTAAATATTAACTTAGAAGTTAAATGCACTAAGATAAAAATTAACAAGCATCACTAACTTCTAACCATTTACAAGAAAAATCAATAGTTAAATATTATTGAATAACGAAATTTTAAAAAGTTACCACAAGTTTGAGTCAAAAACACTTCTAATAAAATTTAATCAAAAAAATTATAACTAGTCCACTTGACTAAATATTAATAACTAGTTGATCAAACTTTCCTAAGTCCTCAATCAATTGGACTTGATATCCTTCAGTCATGTGAACGAACATTTTGCAAATACTAAGATTCAGAAAGTGCGGCACCGCCAATGAAAATTGTCTTTTATCAATATTATGCTTAGTCATAAGATTAAGACGTTTTTTCTTATTATGAAAAATCAAAAAAGTATTACTCCTTTTGTTCTCATTTATATTCACCAAATGAATTTCTACTTTATCATTTATATTCACCAAATTTAAAGTGATAATAAATTTTATATTGGTGAGAATAATAAATTTTAAAAAGTAATGATGTGATTATAAATTTTATTTACATATGAAACAAATGGTTAGTAGATATAAATGTGGGGTTGTTTTAACAAAGTATAAACTCATGGATCAATTATTGTATTAAAATATCTCAAATCATGATATGAAATCACATGGTGATTCCATATCATGGTTTTTCGAGAATATGATATCACCTCTCATGATATGAAATCATGAGATGAAATCAGCATAAAATTGCATGTCCAAATGCTGATTTCATCTCACGACACCATATCGTGATATGAGATCGCATGGCCAAACGCCTACTAACTATATTAAAAATTTCAGCAAAGATGATTAAAAATTGATCTTCTCTTTTGTTCCTTTCTACATGTTTCTTCATATAAACAAAGAAATTTGATTTCAATTACAAAGCGACATTACTACTCTTGCACCTCTCAGTCCACAACTCATAACACTGGTGAAATGATTGAATTCATTACATTTGGTTCTTTAGTAAACCAAACTTTTATTTCTGCCACTACTTTTTGTAGGTTTTTTTTGCTATAGGGGAGTTGAATTCAAATACATTAATTAAACTTCTTATGAAGTGTTTTTCATTCCTCAAAGTTTTCTTCCTCCTATTTCATGAAACTTAATCTTTTACTGTAAGTCATATTGATTCATGTATCTTTTGCAACAACTTTTTGTTATTTTGGTGACTTTTTTCTAACTCTGTTAAAAATTCTGTGAGGATGTTTGAAAATTTATCTTCTCTTTTGTCCCTTTTTACAGGTTTCTTCATATACTTTTTGAGAAAATTGCTTGTGGTTTGTGCTATATTTTATAGCACACAACAACAAATATGTGATAACTAATACGGAATCAATGATGAAATTTCTTAAAAGAACCAAAATGATTGCTCTCTTGCTTACCACAATTAATATATTATATTTTGATTGTTTTTTCTTATGTAGAAACATTTTATATGTCATTGCACTCTTCCTAGAATATTAGTATAGAGATAATTAATACACTTTTTTTAACGCAGGTTAACTAATTAGTCATATTTCTTCGTCTCTTCTTTTTGTGCATAATAAGAGATCAAGTTTTCTTGAACCTAACAAATGTCCAAAATACACTATAACAAAAAATAGTTTTTATCGGCAGTAAACATGCACATTAACGAAGGGTGCTATAGCCTTTACCGACATTAGTTAATTCTCATTAGATTCAATGTTGCTATCGACTTTAGGGACATTTATAGAGAGTATCAATTGCCTCTGAAAATACATATTTAGCGACAATTAAACTATTAATTTTCGTTAAAGATCATTTTTGCTTTAGTGACAACTCTTTCTTTTGATAAAGTTTTTTGTTTTTTAGATAAAGAAGTAATAACTTTTTCTTTTGACTTCTTTCAATTAAATTTGTTAACTCTAAACTTGGATACAACCTTTGAAAAATATGTTAAGCAACATGCCTTTTTCTTCTTGATTGTTAAGCAACATGCCTTTTGCTTTAGTGATAACTCTTTCTTTTGATAAAGTTTTTTGTTTTTTTGATAAAGAAGTAATAACTCTTTCTTTTGACTTCTTTCAATTAAATTTGTGAACTCTAAACTTGGATACCACATTTGAAAAATATGTTAAACAACATGCCTTTTTCTTCTTGATTGTTAGGAAAGTAAGGTCGTCTTTATTATTATTTGTGGATATTTGTGAGTTCAAGTGCTCACAAAATCATGCTCTGAGATTTTAATATGCTATGTGTCAAAATTTTGGTTTAGAATATCCAGCTGTGAACAGTTCCATTCAGATGTCACCTATTACTTGATTGATAATTGCATTAATTCTTTGTAACTGCATACTATAACCATAACAATAAATATGGTTCAATTCAAAATAAGGTGGGGCCGGTGATATGAAACCTAAGCAATACTAGTGACTATTTTGAGACAATGAGGAAAAATATTTGTGATGCTAAGAATTTTAGTGTCACTTTAAACATTTACATGATACGGCATACTATAATAAAAAAGAGATTGATGGAGATTTATAAGAAAAGAGCCGAAGGTCCTTTATTTGAATTTAGCTAATTATGGTTTTTTTGTCTCTTCTTTAAATCTGATGTCTGATGTTGTTCTGTATAACTTTTTGGAATTTAGAAAATTTGATTATTGACCAACTATTTTCATGGACATTTTCTTAGACTTCTTTCTTATACTTCAAAATCTCTCTATGACTCATAATTTTTAGATAACAAGAACGAAAATTAAAAAAAATATAGTACTTTAAGATTTCGGAGAACTGCTTTACTTTAAGACAAACTGTTCTTGAAAATATAGTCTATGTATCGAAAATATGAATGTAACCGAATGAACATATGTAAGTTTAATAAAATAGTTCAATCCCGTGCGAAGCGCGCACCTAGTATTTTTAATAAACTAAAAAAACAAATCTGATTTCTAAACCCTAACCCAACCACCCTCCCCCTTTCTTCTCCTAGATTCAGATTCCACCCCCATCCGTCGGCCGTCCCTAAAACTCCAAAATTTCTTCTTCTTTCCCTTTTTAATTTTGAATTTTTACATCAAATTCATTTTTTTCTTCTCGATTTGACCTTTTGGGGTTTTAAATCTAATAGTGTCTGATAGAAAAGAGGCAGGAAAAAATAGAGAAAAAGAACAGCAGCAGCAGTCACCATTTTTTCCGGCGAACAAAACTGTGACAGTTGTTAGAGTAAAGAAAAAAAAAATTAAATATATCTATATAAAATAAAAGTATTTTAAATATTTTTACATTAAAATAAGTAAAAAATTAAAAATAATAAAGTTATGATTTTTAACAATGTGACAGTGTATTATATAAGTCAATCAATTGTAAATAAGTGTCGTCTAGCCGATGGTGTCGGAATTTCATGCCAGGTCAGCTAAAAGTGTATAATAATTATATATGTTAAAGTTGAAAATATGCTGACAAGTTTGTGACTTTAGCCTATAAACTACCCCCTGTTTCACTTCCTTAGCAAAACCAACCACCTCCGCCTCTCTATCTCCGCCTCTCTCACGGCAGGTTTTGTTCAGAAAAAGGTTAGTCTTTTAGTTACTTTTCTTTTATCTCATTGTACACTAGTGTATGTATGTATGTGTGCATTCAATTTTAGTTTTTTAATCAAGAATTGGGAGTTATTTTGATTCTTGATTTTCCGGCAGAATAGGGTATTCGTGAAAGAGTGTTCATTGATGCATGTGATTGTTCTGTTATGGGGATGTTGTTTCTTGGTTGGGTTAGGGGATTTAGTTTCTGGGTTTTTTTTTCTTTTTAATTGTGCTAGTGGTTGTGTATTTTGATCAATAAAAATTGTGTATTTTGCATCAGGGGTTTAGTTATTCTGGAGGATGGATTCAGGGGATGTGTCTCTTCCAAGGAGGAGGACTAGACAGCAATTCTTGAAATATTGGGTTGAGTTAATTGAGAAAAGGAATAGTTTGGGTCGAACTGGTAATCCTACTCAGTCTTCGACTTGTTCGGTGAATATTGTAGAGGATGTGAGTTGTGGGAGGAAAAGAGATAGGGTGGAGGAGAACACAGATTCTGCAGATGGCAAGAGAAAAATGGAAAAATCAGAAGATGGAAGTATGGTAAAGGTGGACAATGGGAGGAGTAACTTCAGCCCAGGAACTTGTGAGTCCATTACGAAACCGCCTTTCATCCACGAAATATCTGATGATGATGGGGAGGAGGAGGGGAAGGAGAATGATGTTTTAATTGGGGAGGCTGCTGCAGGCTCTGCTGTAAATACTGGATCATGTTCAGTATCTTGGTCCAATGTGGGCTCTGTTGGGTTAAAGAGTCCTATGTTGAATGTAGCAGATGAGGTTGTTTCATCCACCTCAAGCATGTGTTGGACCGCAGATAAATCAGAAGAGGTTGTTGTTCCAATTGCATCTTCTGAGTCAGAATCTGAAGCTTCAAGTGATGAGGATAATGATGACTCCGAAGATGAGAATTACCAGGTGAAAGAATCATCAAGTTCTAGTGAATCTGATGATGTAAGAAGTGATAAATCGAAAGATGATGAGGAATCAAAAGATGGTGATACATTGAAAGATGATGATCTGAGTTGTCCAACAGAGCAAGAACACCATGAAGAACGAAACAAGGAGTCAAATGGTGGGGAGCTAGTACCTCAGCTTGCTGTTAAGGGTGAAAAGAACAACAAAGGCCGATCTTATCTTCTTCGGCCGCGCTCACTTCCTAAGTCCAAAAAGAAGAAGTTAAACCATGGAAATTGTAGCAGCCCGATTCTTCTTAGTGAATCCTCATCTGAGGAGGACTGTGATGTTGATGAGTCGGTGCAAAATGTCGTTCAAAAGGATGCTGTTCGAAAGGTTAGAAAGACTCGGAAGAAGATTCTTAAAGATTCTGAATTTCTGAAGTTTGTCGTTGATTCTATAATAAATGTTGATGATCATGATAAACTAACTCCTCCTGAAGAGAAAGAACAAAAGGAACAGGATCCTGTCAAAGAAGCACTTCCTTTAATATTCCGGTTTGAAGACGAGGAACCTCTCCCGCCAGAGAAAGAAGAATGGGAAAAGGGAGTTGATGATCTTTTTGTTGAAATGGACATGTGTATCTTAGAATCACGTATTGGCTTTACAAATCCATCTGATTCACCTATACAAAGTGAAAAAATAAGTGGCTGTCAGATGGGGAACCACCAGCTTGTTCTAGATGAACAAATTGGACTCATCTGTAAAGTTTGTTCCCATGTGCATTTGGAGAGCAAGTACATCTTCCCTCCATTTGTAAGTATACGAGTTTTATCCTGTCAAGCACTTCTCTTTTCAATTAGGAACACAATTTACAAGATCTGTTGTTATTACTTTAATAGATCCCATCTTTATCTTAATGACTGTGTAGTAGTTTTTATTTTATTCTCCTGCAAACCTGCACATATACTAATCTAAATTCATGGCAGCTTTTTCTATAGCTTTGCCAAGCTGGAAGTACTGGTTGTTTTTAGCTGTTAGGATGATTGAGATCTGAAAGCGTGCTTGACATAGTGCATGATAACAATAATGCAGTTGGTTCTATGCCTCAAAGATTCGTAATAAGTTCTTGAATATGTAAACTTTGACAGTTTGCTATGGCCTAATAGTTTCTCTTTCGGTTAAATGGACATGCTAAAAATTTACAGCAATAAATGGAATTAGTTCAGTCAATTAGTTTGTGAGTTTCTTTGTCCATAATTAATACGTATTTATTCTTGATAGTCCATAATTAATATTTATGCTTGATATCCCTAGTTACATGTTCTTTTACCATCCTTTTTCTTGGTAAATAAGTTTTAACTTTATTACCAAATAAAAACAGTTTACAGCTCTAGGAAAAGAAAAACCACAGGACTATACAAACCATAGCCTGGGATAAATTACAACCCCTAAACATAAAGTAAACAGTATGCATCAGTTAAGGATAATAATTTAGTTCACGCAAAATTAGTTTGTAAGATTTGTTAGTTCATAAATTAATATTTACACTTGATAGCCCCAGTTACATGTTCTTTTGCAATTCTTATATTTGATTTTATGAACTCTGCTCTCTAATTTATTTTTTGTTCACTCTTAAATTCTTGAAGGCTGAGAGAACCCGAGGGAGACATGAAAGAAAATATTTTGGAGAGTCGCCATCCCTCTTGGATGTTGATGGCTTCAAATTTTATGATTCTTCTGCCGTTCATGATGCTGCTATTTATGGGGAAGGAACTGTGTGGGATTTAGTTCCCCTTAGTGCCAAAACAACAATGTATCCTCATCAGCGTGAAGGATTTGAGTTCATGTGGAGAAATATTGTTGGAGATATGTATCTTGAGAAGCTGAAAGAGCCTATATCTGGTAATAGGGGAGGATGCATAATCTCACATCCACCTGGCACAGGAAAAACCCGTCTCACTATAGTTTTTCTTCAGGCATTTTTGAAGCAGTTTCCAAAGTGTCGGCCTGTAATCATAGCTCCATCCAATTTGCTTCTTAACTGGGAAGCCGAGTTCCAAAAGTGGGAGGTCGACATTCCCTTCCACAACTTGAACAGCAAAGATTTCTCTTTCCAGGAAGATGAAGCCACTGTTAGTGTCTTCCACTGTTTATCCCGTGCCGGAAAAAACAATCCACACCTTATACGTATGGTGAAGCTGAGATCCTGGGCTAAAAGTAAGAGTGTTTTGGGAATCAGCTATGACTTGTTTAGGATTCTCACGGGAGAAGATGGAGACAGTTATGCCACAGAGATTAGAGAAATACTTCTAAAGTTACCTGGTCTTCTGGTCCTTGAAGAAGGGCACACTGCTCGGAACGATCAAAGCCTTGTGTGGAAAGCTTTGAATAAAATTGAAACAGAGAAGCGCATTCTTTTGTCTGGAACTCCGTTCCAGAATAACATCAAAGAGTTGTACAACACCCTATGCGTAGTTAGTCCAAAATTTGCTGCAGATTTGGAGCATAAATGGGCTTATCTTAGCAGTTCCATTGACAAGAATGTCCGAGCATTGGAAGAGCTTAGGGATATGATTGCACCACTAGTCCATAAATGTAGTGAAAATGTGAAGAAGGTAAGCCTTCCGGGTATAAGGGATATTGTGATACATTTGAAGCCCACACATTTGCAGAAGGAGTTGCTTAAAAGAATTCCAGAGAATCCAGGCTCCTTTTACGAACAAAATATGGTGTCTCTAATCTCTGTTCATCCTTCATTAGTGGCAACGAGGAAGGAGTTCGTTGACTTAGAAAGTCAGCTAAAAGAAAGAGGATGTCGGTTGGATCCAGATAATGGAGTAAAAATGAAATTTGTTGTTGAACTAATCAGACTCTGTGGTGGATTGAAGGAGAGGGTTATAATATTTAGCCAGTTACTTGATCCTCTAAACTTGATCAAGGAGCAACTCAATTCTCTTTTTGGCTGGACTTTAGGCCGAGAGATCCTCTATATGGATGGAAAACTTGATGTAAAGCAGCGGCAGATATCAATAAATTCTCTTAATGACCCTAAGAGTGATGTAAAAGTGCTTCTTGCATCAATAAAAGCCTGTTCAGAAGGAATAAGTCTTATAGGGGCCTCAAGAGTGGTTTTGCTTGACGTTCTCTGGAATCCCTCAGTAGAACAGCAAGCCATCAGTCGAGCCTACAGAAATGGTCAGACTAAATTTGTTCATGTTTACTGTCCAGTGTCATCAAAATGGGAGGTGGACAAGATCGAACAGCAGACAAAAAAAAAATATCATTCAGATGTTATTATGTCTAGGAATAAAGTGAATACTTTCAAGATGGATCCTTCATGTTCTGTGTCAGAGGATACCGTACTAGAATCCATGGTTAAGCATGAGTGCCTCCGTCATATTTTTGAAAAACTATCTCATGCACCACGTGTGGTGCCTCCTACTACATGCTTTAATTCTCGTAACCAACCTTCAAAACTGAGCTGTTAGGTTAGTATGCTTTCTTCTTGTTTGCTGGTACATGAAGCAACCAGACTTGTTTAGTTTATTTTGTTAACTCCCTATCTTTGGAAAATGGCTCAACTACTTTTATCTCTTTTTTATCAGATCGGTTCTTGTCAGATCGGTTGGAGCTTTTTTTGGGTTGTGAAGGACACTTGTTAGGACTTACAGCGGAGCCTAGAAGAATTTTTGCAGTCATCCTTTTATGAGGTGCTTCATGACAGGTACACTACCATGCTATCAGTAAGCATATTTCTGAAGATTCTAAATGATGTATTCACAAGAACTCCTGTATTTATTTCCTCATTACATAATACCGATGAATGATCCCAGGACATTGGAGAACTTCACTAGTAACTAGTGCCCTGCCTTTATCGATAAGCAAACTAGTTAATTTGCCTTACTGTCATAAACTGGAGAACACTCTTAATAAAAAAAATATCAGGAATGCTACGATTTTAGACATGAAAGAACTTTTTTTTTTTAACGATCTTATCTTTTTCTTATTCCTTTCCTTCTGGTTTCAGGCATTTTGGTACAATTCAAGAACGGTAGATTCACGCCTGGTTAATGAAGAATGCTGATAGGAGTTTTCATCACCCACAGGATGTTCTTGTAACATTGTTTTGCCAGACATTTTTTTGTTTCAGAACTGTGAAAAATCTCAGGCTCTTCCATCTGTGTAGCATATTCCTCAACACAATTGTATTTTGGCTTAAGTCTCTTGGTATATATGAGTCCACTTGTAGATAGTAAATTGGCTTGATGCTTATTTATATGTTACTTTGCATTATATTTTATGGTTTTGATAGTTTATTTTCAAAATAATTAAGTGAATACTTTATTTAACAGTGATCACAATGCCTTAACATAAACTTTCAAGTTATTGTAGTTGTGAAGTGCCAAAAGCTTGTGTTCTTTCACATGTAAATGACACACTTGAGTAAACAATTAGTACAGTTTGCAATTTAATCATAGTAAAATAAGGGAAAATAATAAAAGAATAAGAAGGGGGTAAAGTATATGATATGTGTTTGTTAATAATCTTTTAAGTACTTAATTACAGTTAATTTTTTAAACAAAACATATATTGGGGAAGGGGGATTACAAGGTCGAGAATGGAATTATCACTAATAAGGTAAAAATTTAGGTAGCATGTCAACGGGCTACTAAAATTCCCTTAAGCATGATTACTTTAAAAATATTTTTACCTTATTAAATTACTTAACTATAATAAGTTGATATGATTTAATGTTATCTATGTACGTAGTAAATATTCCACCCTTCGATTTTAAAGCTTCATTTTTTTTGCACTTAAAGAGATTTGAATTTTAATAGTTTAGAGTTTTAGACCTTAGTCATTTTAGTGCATTTGTTTACATTAAGATTTAAATACTCTTTTGGTCTGAATAGATCTTAATCATTAATTTTTTTTAATATTACTATGAGGTATTTTGTGTGAATAATTATCACCATCACTCTCTCGATAACCACCATCCATCACTACTAACTACCTTTGTCATCACAACTATCATTACCACTGTCAACCATCACTGACAACTATCATAACTATCAACCACTACTATCAATCGTACACATTCTTCAGTCATCACCATCAACTACTAGCATCAACCAACTTCATCATCATAATCACCAATTCATCACCATCATCACTATCAATAACTATCATCTGTCTTTGATTTAAAAAAAATAAAAACAATCACTACAACACTAACCACCTCCACCATCACAACTGTCACCACCATTACTAGCCATTAATACCCATTTGTTACCACAATCACTACTATAGTCATCTCCTCCACCATCCCAAGTGGACATAAATATTTTATTTTTTTATCAAATAATACTTTCTTTTATTACATTTGTATTCTTTCAATAATTTAATTATATTAATTATGTTTATAAATAAATAAACTATACACATTCATATATAGAGAAATTAAATAAACACTCTTAATATTCAAATGTCTTATTAACCTTTCGCAAATTCGATTAATTCCTCACTAAAATTTTCAAAAACTGGCAACTTTGAATTACCAACACAACCAAATTAAGAAAATAAACTTCCATTAATCTCTTGTGATTTAGTAAAGAAATAATTTAACCATGCAAAGATCTAAATTATTGATCTGATCCCAAAACTAGGCAAAAGAGTTTGAAAGAGTCTCCTAATCTATAGCCCTCATGTATTACTCCTTTCTAAACTGTTTTTTATTTTTTTATATAAAAGTTTAAAAAACGAATTTAATTAATTAATAAAAGAAATAGTCAATATCATGATCCAAAAACATTTCATTTCTAACATTATTATTATTTTTTAAAAAAATTGTTCCTTTTTTTCTCTCCAATTTTTCAGAGTGTTTTTTTGTTGCAGTTCCGTAAAACACACACTCCCTCTGTGATCTGTTTTTCCCCATTCTTCTTCTCAAACACATGCAAAATCAAAATCCAGGTATATATGTATATGTATAATGCATGGATTCTATTTCATTATACATTACGTACACTATATTTCTCTTTGATCAATTGATGAATCGTTAATTTTTTGTTTTTTGCCTCTTTTTTGTTAGTGTGCATGTGATGTGCGAAGAAATTTGAAGAGAGAAGGGTAAAAGAGGGTTACATGCAGCGCAGGGGTGATCAGAAGAAAAGTGAATCACAGAATCAGTATAAGAAAAATAGTAGAGTTGGTGGTCGTTCACCATCAGCACAGCCGCAGTATCAACGGGTTACTTCTGGAAAAGGCGGTGGTAGCTCTGTTCTACCTCCTCCTTCTCCCGATTCCGATTCCTCTTCTCCCACCACGCACAGGTATTTTCCTTCTTTTTTTTTTTTTAAAGGAGTAAGAGCAGAGGTGGAGCCATTATTAGGAGTTTGGGGTTCTAAATTTTCTTTCCCTTCCTTACCCACTGAGTTGTCAATCAGTTTTTTCAGGGTTCACAAGTTAATACATATATATTTTTACTTAATTTTCTACGGAAAAGCTATCTACGGAAATTAACTAATTTTTGGGTTAGACTTATCATAGCGTTTGGTCATGGAAATTGTAAGTATTTGTAAAAAAAAAAAAAAAAAAAAAAAAAAAAAGTAGTTTTTGTTTTTAGAGTGAAAAAATGATAGTATTTGAAAATTTGAGTTGTTTTTGACTTTTTGTGAGTGATTTGGAGTGAAAGGTTTTTTTTGGTTTTTTCAAATTTATGAAAAAGTGAATTGAATTCAGAAAAATTCAGGAATTTTATAGCCAAACGTGTTTTTTCTGAGTTCAACTCCGGAAAAAGTATTATGTGCTTATCAAGGCTTTCCCATTTTGTTTTGCACTTGAGCCAAGGCCTTTAGGAAATATCGTTTTTACCTCCACAAGGTAGTGATAAGGTCGGCATATGTTATACTAGAACTCACTTGTGGAATTTCGTTGGCTATATTGTTGTTGTTGTAACTCCAGAAAAAGTAGAAAAAAATTCATGGCCAAACACCTAGGTATGGAATTTTCACACTTCTACCTACTTGGTCCCTTTATAAATGTGGTGCTTTAGAATACTGACTAGGAGGGTAAATTTAACTAATTTATTGGTGTGATTTAGGGCCAACAGTTTTCTAAGTTTTTTTTTTTAATTATACATTTGAAAATTGTGGTTAGAAGTACTACAAGTCATAGTAGTTGATAATTGATCAAAATGTTTTACGAAAAAATAAAGGTCAAAGTAAAACTTGTTTGAGTCTTCAAATAAATTGTATTGATGTCACATAAATTGGGATATTTGTGGAATGAAACAGGATGAGATAGAGCAGAATGGATGTAGATGATTCGTGGTAATTGAGTTCAACTAGTTTGGGATTGTGTCGTTGTTGTACTTATGCATGTTTGTCAAACAAACAAAGCTTTGCCTTTTCTGAATATGATAAATGAGTACTATACAAGAAAAGTTTTGACCTTAGTTAGGTGATAGTTTTAGATAATCTGTTTTGCTCGGTAAGAAAAGGAAATACAGCAATAAGTGCAGATTAAAACTGAATTAATCTCTTATAAGAAGTAGGAGATCTGTTAAGTTTTGATTTTTCTTGCCAATTTGCATTGGAAACTTGATAGTTTCCTGTGCATGTGATCGAGCTCCCTCATCTGAATTCATAATTCACTGCAAAACATTATCCCGTAATTTTACTATTTGTCTCCTAATTGTTTCATTATGCCTCAATGAGTTGGCTGAAGTTGAGTTTGAACTGCTTCTGAGTTGTTTTAGTTTCTTGACTAGAACATTACTTTATATCATGAAGTTATTGATCTAATTTGCTTATTGAGCTATTTCGTTATTGAGGATCTTCTTATCGGGTAATAATCTACACACTGCATGCATCTGAATGTTTAGGTCACACCTGCATGCATCTTCTTTGTGTCCTCATGGAAAAAATTCTATAATTGTTGAACTTTGTTCCTGAATGGAATTTGACATTTATAATGCTTAGGTCACACCTGCATGCATCTTCTTTGTGTCCTCATGGAAAAAATTCTACAATTGTTGAACTTTGTTCTGTTGAATGGAATTTGACATTTATAATGATTTCTCGTATTAGCTTCAAGAAGTCTGATGGAGAAACAGGTCCACTGAAAGTGACTGATGCTGTGCAAAATGATGCCCCTGCCAGAACCTCAGGATCAGGTTTTTAATTTTCCTCTAACCATTCACTATTCATCTGCTTAATTGTGCTTATGTCAACAACTATCAAAATTCTTTCTAGCCTATCTGCATTGCATACTAGTTTACTGAAAAACATATTACCTTGTTTGAAGCACTTTAGATTTCACAGCCGTTTCCCTTCATCACTGTTGATGAAACATCCTATGCATATTGAACACTTCAACTTTTTGTTTGTTTGTTTGTTACTATTGGATTTTCTAGATGCGTCAGTGAAAAGGATATGGTAAAACCATTGATCTTTGAAGTCCAAATGTTCTGAGAGTCTGTAGGTTAATAGGCGAAATGATGATGAAAAGCTTCATTGGTCTAGGGTAAAGAATCATGAATCAAGATAATTAAAATCTGCCAGTAGCAACTTCACACGGAACCATTTTGGGAATCCTGAAATGGGAGAACTTAAAATCTCGAATCTTGAATCTAGTTTCTTTAAAATCTGGTTCATATACCTTTCCAGAATTGAAAACGCAATGTTTCTAACTAGAGAAAGATTTACTTTAACTTGTAATAGAATATACAATGCATATACTAAAGATCTTACTGTTGCTTTTGTGGGCTTAATGTGCTGATCAGACAGGTATAACTTTTTTCTCTTCTCGTTCTTCTTTAGGTTTTCTTTTTATTTGTTCATCTGTTTGTTTGTTCTGGTTTGCCTCTAAATGATGCTGCAATTCCAGCATGCTTCCTTAAATTCGTCACTTCCAATGGATACGACATTTATCATTATAAATGCTTCTTGAACTTAAAAGGAAACAAACAGATTACTACAAATAGGTTATATGGACTGCAATTATTTTAAACATCTATTTTAGAAAACTAATTGTTGCTCATTTATGGCATGATGAGGAATCTTGTACTAGATATATTATAGTTGTGGTTTTGGTACATAAGTTATGGTAAGTGGAAAATTGGCAAGTCATTTAGTATTCCTTAAAGGAGAGATCAGATTTGGGGAATCTGTGGATCGGCGTCTGCAAGGGTATATAGTTCTTCTCATATCTTGCTTTGTGTGGTTCTCT